ATTCCAAGACAACTTTGTGAATATTGTGTAAAAAAGGAGCGATGCGCTCCAGCGCCGTAGTTTGCGAGTGCGGAAAGTGTGGTCTAGTCCGGATTTGGGTAGGCGTGAGGCCTTGCCTAATTACAGTCATTCTCTGACAGAAAGGAACATGGCTCTTTGGCAAGTCAAATTAGTCTGACTTTAATAGACTCTATTTAAATGTTACGCTTTCGGTTTTTGTTTAGGAGCCTGCAATTAAACTCTGGCCCTTCTTCTTTACCATGGGATCGGCCGCAATATACCAGCGAACTGCGCGAGTTGACTCGTTAGTTTCAACGGAACTTCTCGGTTAGGGAAACTTTTTCGGGTGCTGACTCGATCGCAGATGCTCGGAAAAGAGTGATTAAAATGATGGTACAAGAACAAGTGATGAGAAATATAGAACGAGATAAAAAGATGAAAGAGGTGTCACATAAGTAAATACAGTTAAATGGAATCAGTTTGAAACTGAGAAGAGAAACAAAAACTATTCAACACGAATTTAGATTCTGAAGATATTGGAACACAATTGTTCTCATGAGCCAACACGGAGCACGCGCGACGAACCCAATTTAAAATTACAGAAACCGAAATCTCGTCTTGAATCGGAACAAAGGAAATTTTCTGGAAACCTCCATGTTTTACCCCCACTTCCCCCTCTCCCGACAGCGGTTCCGTTTCAAGTTACGGTCTCTGTGTCCGCTAATCAAGGCTTAATTTGGGACTAATTAGATGCGCGACTAATCTTCTAATTATCTTACCTAGCCGCTAATTAGTTTAGTGACCCAATAACTCATTAGCCTCCCCATATCTCAAGCCCCAGGTTCTTACAGTGCGTATTTCTGGCGTTGCTCTGCCGTGACCTAACAACTCCTACCCCTCGATCGTATCTCCTACCTCTACGTTGATTGTGGTGGTGCGTGCAACTCCTACCTCTACGTTGATTGTGGTGGTGCGTGCAACTCCTACCCTGTCTCTTATACACATCTAGATGTGTATAAGAGACAGGTGGTGGTGCGTGCAACTCCAACCTCTACGTTGATTGTGGTGGTGCGTGCAACTCCTACCTCTACGTTGATTGTGGTGGTGCGTGCAACTCCTACCTCTACGTCTGTCTCTTATACACATCTAGATGTGTATAAGAGACAGGTGCAACTCCAACCTCTACGTTGATTGTGGTGGTGCGTGCAACTCCAACCTCTACGTTGATTGTGGTGGTGCGTGCAACTCCTACCTCTACGTTGATTGTGGTGGTGCGTGCAACTCCAACCTCTACGTTGATTGTGGTGGTGCGTGCAACTCCTACCTCTACGTTGATTGTGGTGGTACGTTTAACTCCTACCTCTACGTTGATTGTGGTGGTGCGTGCAACTCCTACCTCTACGTTGATTGAGGTTGTGCATACAACTCCTACCTCTACGTTGATTGTGGTGGTGCGTGCAACTCCTACCTCTACGTTGATTGAGGTTGTGCATGCAAATCCTACCTCTACGTTGGTTGTGGTGGTGCGTGCAATTAAGTAGCTCTCCTACCTCTACGTTGATTGAGGTTGTGCATGCAACTCCTACCTCTACGTTGATTGTGGTGGTGCGTGTAACTCCTACCTCTACGTTGATTAATTAATTGTGCGTTTCAGCTCTACTTCTATGAATTGAAAGTTCTATTTACATTAAGGACTGCATAAGGTTGATGTAATTGCTATGTACTTTTTTATTACTTTGCTAATAGTAACTGACCTACAAACTTTGGTCCAAATGTTCTTAAATAATCAAGGTTCTCTTGAGTCATACGTTGAGCGTAAATTGTAATAATCGCGTCAAATCTTAAAACTGGAACACTTATCCGTAATTAAGAACTCTACTAAAACGCTGCTAAATTTAAAAATATTTTTTTTGTGTTTTTTATTCGCATTTATTTCTTTGTGAAGGAAATTTGGCAATGCCTTCATAACAAATTTAAAGAATTACTCAAGATTGTCGTATAACACCGAATTTTGTATATGGCTTGCGTCGGCCATTGAAATGTATGTTCTGTTAATTTCCTTTTGACATCTCACTTATTGTAGAAATGACAGCCGATCCAGCAACATCTCTTCGCATCTAAAATCACAACAGCCTCCTAATATTTGCTATATTTTTTAATATCTCACAATTCTTATTTTTATTCAATTTATTCAATTTTTATTTTTCTATTTATTTCTGGTATTAGCGATTAATCTTGTATTAATCCTGTATTAATATAAGGCTCGCTCTTGTATTAAATTATTATCTTTGCTAAGATAATTCCAATTGGGAGACTTTTATTTGGATTTTAGTTGATTATAATTTCATTTATCCGGCTACAGTTCCCAACTTTTCTTGCAATGGTGTGGGCAACCTTCCTCAATTCTTCAAATCCACATTTCAAGATGGAAGCTAACTCCAACCTCTGGTCCGATTCAGAGACAGCCCATCAGTCACATTTCGTATGAGTGCCAACGACGCTACGTCTTCAATTTTTGTCCTCCACGTCTGCGTTATGGAGTGAGACTTCTAGTCTGAGGTTGTGGCCTTGAGGTGTGCGATGATCTTAAAGGCTTCAGCATTAGCTCTTCTTCTTACCGTGGACGCGTCTCTGTGAGAGCTGAGGAGAGGACCAGATGCTGCATGTTGGTTGTTCGTCATTAAAGCTCAAAGTGTTGTGGCAATTTGTGGCTCTGGCCGGTTTCCACTATGGATAACCAACCGTCTTCCCTTCACTACTCTCAACCCAAATAATAAAACCCTCCGTGTCTTCCAACTGACTATATGTTTATGAGTTATCAGTTTTATTATAGCCTCTTATTTTTTGGATGACTACAGAGATTTAAGATCACAGCTGCTAGGTCAGCAACTCTACTCGTTTGACAATCTTCTGGACCCTAATATTCAGCGTGCTCTAATTTGCTAATATTTAAATTAGTTGCGTTACATTCAAATCAGTTGCATTTATCTGACAGGATGGGCGGCACGGAACTTTGCGCGTCAGTTTCTCTGTGCAACCTGGCTGCCTTGCGCTGGCCAGGTTTCTGAGGACTTCCACCGGGCAGCAGCTCGGGCCAATCCACTTTTCACACGATTTTTTTCGTGTTTCCATGAACACGGTTCAGAATTAATAAATTATTTATTATGAGCAGTTTCCTTTCCATATCTATTATTGTAATGATAAATTTTTCCTTCCACCGAAAAGGGAGGTCGCTCTAAAGTTTTGCACAACTCTAATTTTGGTTTAACCTTCATTTAAGACGTACGGGCTGATTTAATGTACTCGCTACTTAGTTAGTTAGTTTACTTGACACATATTTACTAGCGCTTCAGCTATTTTGGCTATCTCACACCGAAAGTCAAGATAAACATCACTAACGAGGTGGAAGGTCTGCAATCGAAAATTTATCAAATCAAAAATTGTTCATCACCCACAAGGGGCGGAAGGTCTCAGTTGTCCAGCCCGCTGAAGCTGGCAAGAAAGTAGCAGCGTTAGCATCTCAAGGAGACGAAGTTACAAGGAGCGACAAGAGACAAGTGACAAGGAGGGACAAGCGACAAGGAGGGACAGGCGAAAAGCAACAGAAACTAAGACACTAGATTAAGAGGTCGCTTACATGGGACGGGGGCCTCCCGTACGAGAGAGACAGAGAAGGGGGTTGATTGTGGTTGTACTTGATTGTGGTGAATGAAAGGAATCCTACCTACATAATAACTTAACACAAATGATAACCGGAATTGTGCCAAACTTCGAGAACGAGATCTTCAGGGTTGAGACATATCACAACGAGAGAAGGGGGAGACTGTGCAAGATCCCCCATTACGTAACAGATCCGCAGTCAGATTTCAATCCCTGCGGGAAGGACCACTTTCCGTGGCAGGGCCAAGGCTGTTCAACGTGCTACCAAAGGATGTAAGAGAGGGGGAGTTCACCCTGGAGACCTTCAAGAGACAACTGGACGTTTTTCTGGGCACAATCCCAGATCGACCTCCCCTGCAACACTACCAGCAGCGAGAAGCAAGCAACAGCATCGTACATCAGGTGGCCCAAATGGGGGCGGATGGACGATAATCAGAGGCGGCGATCCATCGAGGCCTGGGACTGCTATGTCCCAAATAAGTACCATGATAGCAAGAAGGTACCAAGATACTCCACAACCGAGACCTGCAGTCAGACACCGCGAGCCCGGCAGTGCATGGGGCGAGCAGGAACAATCCCCCTAGGAGCGCAAAATCCCATAGAACTTCTGACGAGCAGGAACATGCGTCAGAAGTCCCCCCTGAGGGGTACTTACTACATAGTGATTTGTTTGGTTACAGATATGTATATACATGAAGGTTTAAGGCTTTTATTCCTTTTTCAACCTTTTGATCCGAGCATTGAAACCTCCATCAGTCATGCCTGTCGTTTAAGTGAGCCTTCCTTCTACTTTACAATCCTCTTTGGTTAGGATCTCATTCCCCTGCCTAGAAATTGTTACCTCGATTACACATCGACTTCAATAGATTTACTCATGTGCCATAGAAATATTTATGAGAAATGGATATTTTTATTTATCTCTTATTCCTGCTGTCAATTATCGTTACAATAAATCGATATATGGCGTCAGCTCTTCATATGTGCTAATGCCAATTATTACCTTTCAGTCTGCTGAACCACGCCTGGTTCAGTCGCGACCTGTGCTTCGTTCCGCGTCACCGGTTGAGAATTATCGAACTTCTATGGTTTTTAAAAAAAGTTATTTTATCTTGATATATATCAAGTCCCAAAACCAATTCAAAGTGTCAACATACCATTAACTGATCCGAATTAAAGTGAAATTTTGTTGTTTAATAATATTTTTGACGCGAAAATATATCTTTACTCGAAATCCTTATGTAAAATTTGAAAAATGAAGTAACAAATAATAAAATTTAGATTCCAGGTATATGAGGTGGCTGATTCTAATCAAAGCTAGGGGATTGTTTTTCTATAATTATGGATCCAAATAATATAGTTCCAACCTATTATAATAATTTTGTTAGTTTAAACTAATAATTTAGACTCACTGTTGCAATAAATAGGTTTGTATAGAATTCAGTATGGTGTATGGTTTATGCACTATGAAGTGACCGCATCAATAGATTGTTTGTTTATAGTGCTTTGGTAACACCTTGACGCGGTACGTTAGAAGAGGGACGCTTGGCAGCTCTTCAGTAAAATTGCTTAAAAATTATTATTAAATATGAGCGGTGGCGTTTACGGAGGAGGTAAGTGGTGCCATTATTGCAAGATATTCATGCCTCAAGTCAGGAATAGTATATGCCAATTATTCCTGCTAGGCTGCTACTCAGTCCCGGTAAGTTAGCCTGTTAGTGTTACTCGTTCACTATTTGTCCGGCCTAGGGTGCAAAATAGTGTCAAAGCAGAGACTTTTATACTCTTCCTCTAGTTCAATTCTCAGTCCTATAAGTAGACCATTAAAGTATCATGGATACCATCATTAACATACATAAAAAATTGGTTTAAATCTTGAGTAAATGAACAAGGGTAAACGCGGTATATTCCGACACATTAAGGACGCATTGAGAAATGAAAAACTATAAAAAAAAAATAAATACATGCACTGTTAGAAAAATTACCGTTAACGGTATTACCGGCGTTTCAGTGGCCGGTCGGCACGTAAAAAGAAACACCGTGTCGCCGTTTTTATTCAAATTTAACACTAGAAATCCGTAAAACATCTGATAAAAACGGTGAAACAGTTTATTTTCACGTGGCGACCGGCCACTAGAACGCCAGTGGGACCGTTTTTTCACCGTTTTTTCTAACAGTGTGGACAGTATACTAATACATTGGACAGTATACACGTACACTCACAAAATACTGTCGATATAGTGACACACTTTCTTACCCACAGCTCGAACAGATAGCGGACGTATAGCACTGATAAATAAATACATCAATTGCCGGCCCCAATCTATGTTAGGATGACACACATTATATTGAGCTTTGTTTTAGTTCCATGCGTTCGTTGATGGTTGAAATGGTGACGTCATACATTTGCATGTCAAACTAATGCCAAAACACTAGGCCACTGTGCAGAGAGTGGATGAATATTGCAAGATCTTTGGCGACACTTCAGTAGCAAAATTTACGCCTTCAGAAGATCTTGCCAACACATTTAGATTGAAATTAATCTAAATAAATAATAGATGATAAATTAAATAAATAAATAAATTAAATATTAAAATATTAAATTAAATAAATTAATAGATGATTAAGTTGAGAAATGGATTTAGACACATGAAAACTAATTCCGTCACAACTTGAATTGGACACACACAGATCGTTCCAAGCTGTGTACAAAAATTAAAATTTGCTTAATTAAAAGCTTAATAGTTGTTAATTAAAAGCGTACCTAATTAAGTAGTGTTCAATATCCATTAGTGTTCTAATTCAAAGCCGTGTTGTATTCCAATACAGCTCACACAGCAAATGGAATTTGAACACGTGGATGACGGCATTACGTATTAGTAGAATTTGAAGCGCGGACGTAATATGCCTCACCACGTGCTGAATATTGCCACACACAGTGACGGAATATAGGGATTTGCCGCCGATTGGTAGGTTTCCATTCTAAAGGCTTTTAAATAAATATGGCAACATTTTGTGACGTTTCGTTGTTGCTGGCCCGTAGTACGGTGTTTTGCGAGTCAAATAAAGCAAACAGAACTCAAGTAACGCATACGGTTATTTTTTTACAGTTTTTCATTTCTCGATGCGTCCTTAATGTGATGGAATATACCGCGTTTACCCTACTTGTTTTTAACCTAGTTATACCTAAATATCTTGAAATTCAAGGGAGCCAGATTTGAAAATTCCTACTTATTACTAGAATCTTGCAAGTCCAACATGACCAATTTTCAATAAAATTGTAAACTTGGGGAAATAAATAGGTAGGTACCTACTAGCTTCAAATAAATTTATAACTCAGTTATGAATATTTTTAACAATTGGATAGGTCAGGAGGCTGAACTGGACAATTTTGATAAAGCTACCCTACCAGTAGAAAAATAGCTCTGTTTGAAGTAAATTTCCTTAATTCCTATTGGCTCATGATTATTTTTTTTAATAAAAATTGAAAAACAGATCTGTGTCTGTAATTTGTGAAAATTATTTATAAAATGATCTTGTGTACCTATAATTTTGGGTAAAATGTGCTACATATTCCAAATTAAATATTTATCTAGCAGAAATCTTGCTCCTCCAAAAATGGCAGGAAAGCTCAAAAGGAACCTAATATTTTAGCAACATGTCTTAGATAGTCACTCCGAATCGGAATTTGACTTTCAAGCACTATTAAAGGAAGATATACTATTCCATGTGTAACCATGCCTGGTGTGCACTGTGCACGCCTATCAAGCTGTGACTAGAGTTTTCCTTTCATATTTGGAGCTGCAGAATTGCTGCTAGATGAATTATCACCTATCTAAATGTTGACAAAAGTGCATGATGGGGCTGCAAGATTCCAAATGCCCTGAAAATTTGTCATTTAGGAGTTGCAAGACTTGAATTCTAAGTAGGGTAATTACAATCCTGTTCTATGTGTGCACTAGTTTAGAAAACTCCTACTTATTTCTGAAATATAGTAGCTCTAATATTATATAATTTCAGTTGGTATCAAATCTCATGGCTCTAATGCAATGTATTTTTTATTGATTGGAAAAATTGCAGTTCAAAAATGTGTCATTTTCCAAAATTTTCAACTTCAGCAGTTCAGTACCATGCTCCTGCCAAAATATCCTGCATAATGAGTTAACCCAAGACATTTTGTTCATGATCACATAGTTGCAATCACATCAGACTGCATTATAACCGCATTATTTCTTTAACAAAACAGTAAGTAATACATGTGTTCAATTGCCTCTAAAGTGAAGACAAATGTCCTTGTTGCAGTTTCTGGGGTAAAATTAAAGAATTGGGGTTACATGTGCATGAAACTTTGCAAATGAGCTTGCGGCTCATAAATGACTTTCCATGGCCTGGATATGGTATTCACAGCTCAATTAAATGGAATCACAGCTTGCAAATCCATAAAAACACTGCTCAAAAAATTCAGCTGTGGATCAGAGAATAAATGTTTTCCTCTCTAGTGCCTGCACCATAAGAACCCAAGTGATGTGTTTCTGATCAATATTTGGTGTGGGACACCAAATATTTGGAGGCTACTCTAGCTCTTAGTGATAAATCTTCATGAATTCTGGGAACTTTTTTAGCCTGCTCAACTTAGTTACTCCATTTCACTAAGCTCTTTTAGATGAATTTCTATTCCCAAAGCATCAACACAGTTAAAAGCAGTTCCTACTCTCTGTAGCTAGGTATTCCTTAGAAAAAGTGAGAATTCAGGCTTATGTTGCTGATGGGTAATTTTACGACTGATAAACTTGTGTATTATATATCTTTAGTTATTTTTTGGCAATAATCTCTTTTCTCTCAGGCACACTGTTGATACACAACCTTATGTTCATTAATTTTGGGATATGTTGCTGAGAAATATTTTTAAATCAAATTATAATTATGTTGTTAAGAGCATTTGCTTTTATAGATTAATTATAAACCTGTGAAGTTTGTTTATTAGATAAGATGTGGAACTAGAACTAAATGAAATTGAGATATATAGGTACAACTATTTTTATTTTGAATTTTAATTAAACATTGAAATTTCTTTCATACCATTTTCAATACTGAATATTTGCAGATATATTTTTATTTCATTAAGTGATTCTTCTCCATGTGAAAAGCACACTTCAAGTAACTCTCTAAAAGACTGAATATAATTTGCATACTGAATATAAAATCCAGAATTATTACTCTTCATAGTCATATTTCTCATAATAAATTTATATATTGCATGTAGACAGTAGAATATTGTAAACTTGTAAACATGTGCTCTTTCGTTGAAAATTTGTTAATTTGTATGATCTAACAGTTAATAAGTTTATGCAAATACTATGGTAGAAACTCTACTAGAGTGATTTAAACTTCCCAGATGAGGTGGGAGCCATTGTTGTGGACCCTGGCAGCTACACTGTCCGCATTGGTTATGCGGGTGAAGATTCTCCGAAGTTTGACATTCCATCTTGTGTTGGCCGAACCCTTGATCCAGATACCCAAGAGACCAAATTCAGTATTGATACAGTTAACCTTGCTGCACCAAGAAAAGGTAATATTGGACCATTACAAGAAAAGATGGTTAACCTTTTTATAACTGTTTGGAGCTATGGCTTTTTTGTGAATGCTTCTTGTAGCTTTAGAATCATTTTACAAATAGTGCATTGGACCATTTTCATGAATTTGAGATTATCTGAATGTTGAAATACTCTGATGATTCAAACTTTTGAAAAATACATGCAAGTATGGGTATTGTTACAGAATCTTCATAATTTGCTATTTTATATGTAGTCCTGTTGATTGCTCCAGCAAATTTTTTTTTCTCATCTTCTTCACTTCAATGAATTATTTGTCTTTTCCCAAGTGTATGATATGGGAAATAATGATTAGTGACTCAATTTATTTATTGAGTTTCAGCCTCAACCCCACAAATAGGCACATTTGTCCTACTTAATCAAAGGTAGATATGTTAGAAAGTTTCTCACTTCTCCCAACCTGATTTATTTCATGTTCTTCAGGATGTGAGGTATCCAACATAATGAAAGATGGCATGATAGAGGACTGGGATGCTTTTGAAAATCTCATGGATTATGCTTATGAGAAATGCATTAAAAGTGAGAGTCAATATCATCCCATGTTATGCTCTGAGGCAGCCTGGAATGCCAGAGGCAAGAGGGAAAAAATATGTGAACTTTTCTTTGAAAAGTATCAAGTAAGTTTTTCATACTTTCATAATTCATTGCTATTGTAGTGTTTTTTGTTACAAAATCTCTGTTGATGACTTCAGCTGGATCACGCAGTTATTATTATTATTTTTTTTTAGTAGAAGTGAGAAGTTGATTGCCTACTTGGCTTCTTTTTTTAATAGAAACTTTCATTTATACAAATATTCCACTCAAAGTAAATAATTCCTTAAGTATCTTGGACACTTTTGTTCAGTCTAATTGTTTCCCGTAACTCTTTTGCTACAAATATATATGATAGTTCCTTTTTTCTTGTGATGAATGTTGTCTCTACAAAATCCATTATTTATTGTCTATTATTTATAATTTAGTCTAATGATGTTATCTTTTACACCCCTACACATGGACAATTAATTTTTTGGGGTGTTTTCCTTCTAAAATAAGTGGCTTTTGTCTCAATAAAATTTATTTCAAACAATTACTCTCTACACACATGATAAATTTTTGTGATCATTTCTAGGTACCAGCATTTTTTCTAGTGAAGAGTGCTGTGCTGTCAGCTTTTGCCAATGGTCGGTTCAGTGGTGTGGTCGTGGACAGCGGTGCCTCGCACACCTCAGCCGTGCCGGTCATTGATGGCTATGTTCTGCAGCACGCCATAATCAAGAGCCCGCTGGGTGGCGACTTCCTCACTAACCAGGTCAACATTCATGACAACTCTTCTTATTTTAGATTACAGCTACAGAAGCTTTGTGGTGGCTCAACTTGTAGGTAACTTGCAGGTTGAACATCAATGCACTTGATTGAAGTTTTGTTAAATATCACAAAATATTAATTATGGACATCTTGGGGATTTAACCTGAACAGCTGTATATACAATGTCAGTGCTTCAGTGTAAAGTTTCAAATTCATTTTCTGCTAAACATGAGGGTTTCCTTTTTTAACAATGAACAAAAGTAAACCTACAACTTGCAGTAAACAAAATGTTATGAACTCATCAATCATCACGAAACACTTAAAAATAGCCTATTCTCAAAACACGCATCAAAATTGGGTCATTCAATATTGATTAAGAATTAAACTTTCATTGTGTCCTTTATCTAATTTTATCTGTTGACCATTTAATGCAATCAAACTTCTAAAAATTTAATGCAAAAAATGCAACCAAAGTTTCTAACAATTAACCTTTTATCATGACTTACTTATCAACCTAACCTTATCAACTCAACCTTCTATCTTGAGCTACTACTACTTATTTTACCTGTTAACTTTTAACCATTACTAATTTCCTATTATACTAACAATTAATATTTTATTTGCAGTCACTGAACTTCCTGAAGGACCAAAAAATCGACCTGGCCGCCCCATACATGATTGCCGAGAAGAAAGTGGTCAGGGAAGGAGATCCTCCGAAGTGGACGCGTAAAAATAACCTCCCTGAAGTAACTCAGTCGTGGCACAACTACCATGAGAAACAGGTGAAGCCTATTTCTTTATCAATCATTCCCTGTAATTTAGCTCACGAGACACATGAATATTCCTTTTTCTGACATTAGGATGGTATTATGTTGAATTTTAATGTAATATTATTTCATTTTGTGATTCATTTAAGAATGTTTATGGATTTATTAAAGTTTATTTGAAACTTTAAATATAAATAGATTTTTACATCGAGCTGTTACTGCCATATGAACAAATTTTCCCTCATTATTATTAGTTGCCTTGAGTTAAACACGATCTCGGACATTAATGAGTTACTTGTGTTGACAGGTGGTAACATTACTTGCGTTGACAGGTGGTAACATTACTTGTGTTGACAGGTGGTTCGAGATTTCACACAAGCTATCCTCACATGTGCAGAGTCTGCATATGATTTAGACACTGCGAATTCTATGCCCACTGAAGGTTATGAATTTCCAACAGGCTATACAGGGGTGAGTAATGAATACAATGCTGTTGAATTGTACAATTCCATGCCCACTGAAGGTTATGAATTTCCAACAGGCTATGCAGGGGTGAGTAATGAATACAATGCTGTTGAATTGTACAATTCCATGCCCACTGAAGGTTATGAATTTCCAACTATCTATATGGGGGTGAGTAATGAATACAACGCTTTGGACTGAAAGCTCTAAAGACCAGGCAATACCACATGAAACCTTGTTTTGTTTCTTGGTTGATATTGCAGGTAAAATCGGGTGTTGCGGGACTTGGGAGAAATACTTTTTTGTTAAGTTTGTTTTTAGTGAATATTCTAAACGAGACAATAAGCGACCATAAAATTTTACTTCATATATTTTCACTTCATCCACTTAGTTGAATATACCTATTTCAAGGAAACTTATTTGCTCTTAAATGATCACTATCTTGAACATTTTCTGTTCTTTTATTTTTTCTGAACATTTTTACTGGGACGAATTACCTAATAATTCATTAGACATAGAGTAAGTTGTGGAGATTATATTTATCTCACATTAGATTTTTGCTGCATATTTGATCGCTGTTTGATAGCTATGTACGATAATTAACATTTAAACGTCCAAATAAACCAATTGAGGTTGATAAAAGAATTTTATCTTATTGACCTAGTAGTATGCCTAATTATAATAATGATGATAATAACGATAATAGAATTATCTTGCAGGAATTCGGAGGAGAAAGGTTCAAGTTGGCAGAGTCTCTGTTCGACCCGAGCTTCATCAAAGGCTGCACCTCCACCATGCTGGGTAAGCCAAGTGTCCCTTGTTGTTGGTAATAAATAAGTGACAACATTATTATCGATCCCATAACAATTTAAGTATGTAGGTAGGTAAATGTGTTGTTAAGAATGTTCTTGGTGTGAATGTGCGCATTTCCTAATTGATTTTCAATGTGTACACGAGAAATCAAACCAAATTGAGGAAAAACTTGATGGATATGTCCAAATGTTAATTTTTATTCAGCATTTTTTCGCAGTTGAATAGCTTCTGAATTGTATCCTCAATTTTATTTCCTGAGTTAGGAAAAAGTTTTCTGTAGAGTGTAAATTTTTATATCTTTTTCCAAGTAATCTTTTGTTTCTTTAATTCATAGTTTCTTGACAACAAATTTTAATGCCGAAACCGCGCTCGGAGGCCGTTTCTCACGAGCCCACACCACCACTATGCTGCAGTTATTCTATATTATAATTATTTTAATGTATTTGGGTCCCATCGGATTTTCATTGATATTATTATTTCCGTCTCTTTAAAATTTATTTTACTTTTGTTTGCAGGATAATTTTGTTCACTAATGAGTAAGTCACTTGGTCGCCAGCTCCATATTTCTATGCGACATAACATTTATTGCTCAAACATTGACCCACCAACTTGGCAGAGACGAGTCACGTGTTTACCAACTAAATAAGTCTATGTGACATAACATTAGTGCTCAAATATTGACCCACTAACTTGGTCGCCAGCTCAATAAGTCTTTGCGACATAACATCATTCCTCATATATTGGCACTCCTACTTGACAGGAATGAGCCACGTGGTCGCCAGCTCCATTCGACATAACATCATTCCTCATATATTGGCACTCCAACTCGATAGGAATGAGCCACGTGGTCGCCAGCTCAATAAGTCTTTGCGACATAACATCATTCCTCATATATTGGCACTCCAACTTGACAGGAATGAGCCACGTGGTCGCCAGCTCCATAAGTCTGTGCGACATCGACCTGCGAGCATCACTGTACAGCGGCGTGGTCGTCACTGGAGGAAACTCCCTCACGAACGGCTTCGTGGAGCGCCTCAACAGGGACCTCAGCAGCCGCACGCCCCCCAACATGCGCCTTAAAATCCTCAGTGCCCAGGGCGTCGCTGAAAGAAGGTCGCCTATGTTGATAATTTTACGTTCATACTTCATTTATCCGATATGATTTAAATCATACCCAAGATATAGTGCGCAATTGGTCGAGTCATAAAAAATGTTGAAGAATTAACAGTTTGAATTGCTTTGGAAGGATATATTTACTGTCATCAATTGTTTTCATATGTACCATCTTAGTTAAGAGATTAATCATCAGTACAACAAGGGTTCAACCTTTGCTCCCTAGGTGGCATTAAAATTAAAGATATCATGTTGCCAGATACATCAAATAATTCGGCATTCACTCGTTACATAATATTTGTGATTAATTATTAGTTCAAGAACCCCTCAGGGGGGACTTCTGACGGGTGTCTGTGCTCGTCAGAAGTTTCCTTGTCACTTCGTCTCTTTTGAGATGCTAACGCTGCTTCCTTCGAGCCAGCTTCAGCGGGCTGGACATCTGAGACCTTCCGCCCCTTGTGGGTGATGAATAATTGAGACCTTCCGCCCCTTGTGGGTGATGAATAATTGAGACCTTCCACCTCTATGGTGATGTTCATCTTGACTTTCGGTGCGAGAAATTGCTGAAGCGCTAGTAAACATTTGGCCACTAAACTAAACTTACTTAGTTCAAGAAGGTGAATGGTAAATCATTTAAATTACAAGAACGATGGCTGGTTTCATGTGATTATTAAAGCTATATATGATTGATTCGAATTAAACATTGAGCTTTAATAACAAAACATTAATTTTCCCTGCAGATTTGGCTCCTGGATTGGCGGGTCCATTCTGGGTTCGCTTGGGAGCTTCCAGCAGATGTGGATCAGCCGGCAGGAGTATGACGAGGCCGGCAAGAGTCAAGTTGATCGCAAATGCCCTTAATAATTAAATCTAAAAAGCTTACTTATCGTCCATTTTAAGGAGGAATAGATTACGGACTCTATAATTCCGCATTAGAATGTTTTTTAAATACAAACGGTCGTTTGCATTTATTCATCTTCTTACTTCGTATTGATATGTTCAAATGCAGACTCTTGTTTGCAGTTATTGACCTTAATTCCAGTTGGAGTGTCGAAATGCACACCCAGTTTGCAATTTATTACGGTCTTTCTTCGTATTAGAATGTCTATAAATACAGACTCCTCGTTTGCATCTGTTCAATTTTGTACTTCGAATTAGATAGTTTCGATGTTAAATCCAAGGATGTTTCTACAAATCTGGTGCGTATCGAGGAATACTTTGTATCAAATGAAAAATTTAATAAAGGACCAAATTGCAAACAGTACGCGGAATTCCCTTCGTCAGTGAAAGTTAATTAATTAAAATTGTAACCTACTATAAATGAAATGTTCACTTGTCCTTCTGGCCGGTCCCGTCGAGGCTATTTCCATTAGTTGTGATCTATAATTACTGACTGCAAACATTTATTAAGTTGATGTATTTCTGTCGATCTATAATTATTGACGGTAAACATTAAGTTGATGTATTTCTCGTAATGTGGACTGAGAGTCTACCAATTTAATTGCAAAATATGTGTCTTAGACGGTACAATTCCGCGCTACTAATGATTAGGTTTTAGGGTTGTGGAATATTTTACGAAATCGCTACCACTAGCATATAACATAACTAAAATGTCACAGCCGGCAGGATAGAACTGCACGAGGTCTTCCTTTTTAGCGCAAGTAATATTCTCTATCGTAACCATGCATATGCATGTCGAAAGTTCGAACGATCGCTGGTGACCAATTAATAATAAAATAATGATGATAGCGGTTATAACCTGTATGCAAGAGCTCGAAATCGTGCTAAAAAAGTTTGTCGCACTGCAGTGAAAAACTTTGGAAAAAATATTGCTAAAAATGCAAAAAAGAATCCGAAAGCCTTCTTTTTGTACGCTAGTTCGAAGTGTAAGTCAAAAAACTGTATTTCTGATTTGAAAGTAGACCAACGAAAGATTTCCTCCGATGAGGGCGAGGCAAACGTTTTTGATCAGTTTTTCAGCAGTGTATTCACAGATGAGGACTTGAACAGTATTCCAGATATTGAGAAGAGCCCAGTCAGCTCGAAGTTAACAGGTTTTGAAATACACGAAGAAGAGGTTCTCAAGCGCCTGGTAGCTCAAAATCCCAACAAGTCATGTGGACAAGACGGCTTCCATCCCAGATTGCTCAAAGAATTAGCAACCGTTCTGGCCGGTCCATTGACAGTATTCTTTCAAAAAACCTTGAACGAAGGAACTTTGCCGTCCAACTGGAAAGAAGCTCAAGTAACACCATTGTTCAAAAAAGGTGACAAAAGCAGCCCCGGCAACTATCGCCCTGTCAGTCTGACAAGTGTTGTTTGTAAGCTAATGGAATCTGTTGTGAGGGATAGGATTATCGATCACTTGACTGCTCACCATCTGTCAGATTGTCAACATGGTTTTATTGCCGGTAGATCCTGCACCACTAACTTATTATCTACGTTGAACGAGTGGACTCGCCTGCTGGACGAAAGGGAACCAGTGGATGCATTGTACCTCGATTTTGCCAAGGCATTTGACAGCGTTCCGCATGAGCATACGAGTTCCTAGATGCAGATGTTCCTTATACGAGTTCCTAGATGCAGAAGCGATGAAGCAGTTGTTTTTTTGCTGTCGTGCGCCGCCCGAATCTAGAGCTTGGAAATGTTGTGTAGTCACCGAGATTTGAAAAAGAAAAAAATTTAATAGAGAATGTTCAAAGACGCGCAACAAGTATATTGGATGTGAAATTTAAATCTGGGTCTGGAATTGTAAAACACCTGTGGAGCAATTCTATTATTTTAGCCTAACTTCTTCAACTTTATTTGTAAATACTCACTTTTCTTGAAAAATGCAAACATTCTGTCATTTAAAAATGTTCCTGACGCTCTGAATGTAAAGAATTCATTCCTAAAAGGCTAAAATAGTCCATCGTCCATGACACATGTGACATAGGTCGCAAATCGTGGCAGTGAACGGTGCGGTGCCTACGGTGCAACGGTGGCACTGCTAGTTCTCCATAGCTACTGCACCTAGTGACCTAACAGCCCTAACTCATTGTTTGTGTCAATAAAAACTTTAGGTAATACTGGTCAGAATTACAATTAGTATGGTTTGTGTATTTGTATCATAGTGACAAACCAGAGATTTTTTAAAAATCAGTTCATTTCTAATTTCCTTATTTATTCAAGACTGAAACCAATTTCTAATGTAAGATAATGCTGGTATCCATGATACTGTACTGGTCTACTTATAGGACTCAAAAATGAACTTGAGGGAGAGTCTAAAACTCTAAAAAACTCTCTGCTTTGCCACTATGAATTTTGTATGGTTATTAACTATAACTTATTATTGTCCACATAATAACCAAGAGCTTTTATAATCAGTGTGGAATTCTGTATAGTTAATATATTCTCATGTCAATATAAGAAAACGTAT